ATTAATAGTTTTGACTTTGAGAAGGTCATAATCGTCATGCAAACGTACAAGGAATTCCCACGTTCTCACGTGTTAATGCACACGCAGAAGTTGGCAATATATATTCACAATCCGGAAGACACAACGAGTAGCAGAATAATGTCATCTCATCTATCATCAACGAGCACCGTGCCAAGACAACACTCAGCTGGGAGTAAATAAGTTTCCACGTGCCGGAAAGCGAATCTATGGCGCTGAAAATTCGATAGAGATACTAAGACACAGCAATACCAGAGTAAGTACTCTTGTCTTAGATTCCTCTCAACTCTCTTTCGAGTTGCCCCTTGAGGTGCCACGTGCAAGTCGAGGGTTGCGATTTATGGTAAGTCATGGTACGTGGAAAGGCAAGAAAAAAAGTGTGTGCCCAAGAAAAGACGAATGTTACCAAAGACAACGACAAACTAGTGGTTGTAGCAAGCAAGCTAATGCACTCGAGGTCACCAGGAAGCCACTATCTAAGGTATTGTGACGTTGGGGATATCTTGGCTGACGCTTTTACAATAAACAGCTGTTCTCCAGGTCTGAGTCACACTACTCGCGTAGCCTTGGCGCTCTAACACACTACTATGAGAGATTAACTCGGTTGAGTTTTCATTACGATATTATTATAATTATCACAACTATTGTTTCCATTATTATTCTAAATGACATCAGTAACTAAATACACATGCTGAAATATAGAAAAAAAAAATAACGGTTAACAAGTTGAAGACTATATAATTACGCTTATCACTAATTATCTCGTCTGAATAAAATCAATGAATGTAGAGATTATTATAATTAGAACCATTCTCTATACAATTTTGTTATCTTGTTAAATAAATTCTTTTTTTATGAGACAAAGTACATAACAAAGGATTAATGAATATCAACTATACTTTGATCTAACGAAACTTTATATTCTGCGATTAAAAAAATTACCGTGTTTGTGAAAAAAGTGTATTGCTTTTTTTATCATCCACCAGACCGAGTAAAAGTTTTTATTGCGGTGAAATTAAATTTAATTTTAAAATCTTTTTAAATGGAGTATTTTTACTACTGTCTGTAACACGAATTATTTAGAAATGATTTATATATAAAAATGAATAATTTATTTCAAAGCTTTATTCAATTAATTATATATGGTAAGCATAATAATAAATGAATATTTACACTTATTAGATATGTTTTTTTATGTGCATTAGCATAATAATAATCTCTGCTGAGATAATCAATTATTTTCTAAAGAGAAACTTGCATTGATTACCGTTTATTCAGAAGTGATAAGTTGCAATTCTAGATATTCTAATAAACACATGTGCTTATTAAATGTACGTCTAATCAATATAGAATCGTGACTCTCATATATTTGCGTTATGTAGAGTCATATGAACATAATTATTTAGAATGTACCTATTTAAAATCGATTATGACCAATTCTACATATAATTACGTTCCCACATTAATTTCAATATTACTAATACACTATATGATATTTTTGAATTTAATATTCCATTTGACATGTGCTGGGAATATTCAGTTTTATGTAAAGTTTTAATTAAATATTTGCTTATCCTAGAACTACTGACAGTTAGATATTATGATTATGTTCCTTAAGTAAACGAGTCAAAAAGACTTTGGATAACTCTGGATACGGTTACATGCTCTGAATAAAGGATTTTATAACTGGCAAGAGAATTTTTTTAATATGCAATTAAGTATTATAATTAGATACATGTATGAAATTTTTTCTTTGTTATAAAAATTAGAAAAAGATTTTTTAAAAATACATCTGAATGTTGTTGCAACTTTTTTTATTGATGTATTATGACATGGTTTGAAAAAATTTTTTTAAAAAAATATGAAAATGATTTTTTTCAGTGTATGTGCTAGTCGAAAAACGTGGAGAGTAATAAAAAGAGAAGTTATGAAATTTATTATGCTCTGATAATATGAAAATATTTTTAGAAAGTATGTTCAAAGTATTTGTAAAAAATATTTTCGAAGAAAAAAAATATTTTCAAATACTTCAAGAACAAACATTTTGGAAAATTTTTATTGTTTATTTACTCATGTGATTTAATAAAATATTTTAAAAATACTTTTGAATATTTTCAGCTCTAGGATTGCTGTTGGCATGAAGCTGAAATTCATGAAACTCCAAAATGTTGAATAAAATTAACAAATAAATATTATTCAATTCCTCAATATTATGAATTGCAAACTAAACTTTTCATACATTTTTAATCTTCTATAAGCAATGTTAAAAAGTGATTCAATGAATTTCGCGGAGTTTGAACCTTATATAGATTCCACAATAAATCAATGTCAAGCATGGACACGTGCATTGAAACTATTGGAAAAAGGTAACAATTTCATTAGAGTAACATGAGTCTAAAACTTTCGCTTGGATGTATTTGAAGTGAACAAGACATATTACATCTGGAACTTTAAATAGTTTAAGAAGTATCTAAATGAAAAATAAAGTTAAAAAAAAACCAAGTGCGAGATAACATTTTCTCAGGTCTCGGCCGTGACCTTTTTCACTCAACTATTCTCCAAGTTTTGTCACGTTCTTACCCACTATCCGAAAAAGAATCCTAGAATCCCTCCAATTTATTTCAAAAGCCTCGTTTAGAAAACACGAGGATAAAATCGTCATCGCTGAGAAACATACGCGATACTCGCGTGAAACAATTTTACTAAGTTAAAAGCACAATTTCTCACGTACAGATAATAAAATAGTGAACATTTCCATCATGCATTCCCATATTTTCCTTTCTTTTTATCATTTATCTCAGTTACTTTTAATTTAGAAAATCTTATCCTCGGTATCAACACCAATAAACAATATTATTAGCTTTATTATTCCCATTGTTGTAATACTTCTTTATTATTAATTTAATTGATTTATGTTCTGTCTACTTATCATTCTATTAAAAATAATTTTTATACTACATTTTCCCATATTTATACGATGTTCTTCTCTGAAAATAATACTTCATTCCTTTATTTACAATAACACATCGCAATCTAGATAATTAAAAAAAAAGTAGTTATTCAATTGAAAAAAATTTAATCACATAATTTGAGACTATGTATGATGCATAAATTACAGGAAAATTATTTCAAACTCAGCTTTTTTCTTTTCCCTTTAAATGATTACATCATCAAGCATCAAATGAGAAATAAATGAAAAAAGCCAGGTGTTTTGACACTCCTTAATATTTCTCGACAAGTTGCTGTGTACGGAAAAAATACTTAGGGTCAGAATCATCATTTATGTTTCTATTAAAAGTGTATTTTCTTTAGCTAAGAATAGAAGAAAATTTTTGATTCTACATAGATAGTTTACATTTATCTGTTTCTTTTAGTACATGTATTGTCTCTTCGATCATTCAAATTTGTAGGTTTTTAAGCTTCAATTCCACGAAATATTCTTCGTAAGAACCAACTGAAACACTCAGATAAGAGTACTCGTTTGTACCCACGAGACTCTAGCCACCGCGCACGTTTCCATCGTAAGTTTATCCCACCTGCCAGGTCACGTAGATCGTAAATTACGTCGATCGTAAATGGGCCCCGGACGATTTTCTCAATATTGCCCTGTACTATATACGTACACCGTTTATTGTTTATTTATTTTTATCTTATTATTAAAAAATATATAAAAAAATAACTGCAATATAATTTAAAAGTTTAAATATTTATAAAAATTTTTTCAACGCCCCATAACATTTTTTGCTCCAAAACTCTCAAATGTTCCTTTAAAATTCTAACAATGAAGAGAATGGAATAAGTCAAACAATTTTTTAAAATTCAATCCAACTGTAATTATTCTAATATAGAAATGTTCTGTACATGTCGGAGTATTGTAAATAAATGACTGTAAGAAAAGTGCAGCTGTCTGAAATAATGCATAAACTAAATTAATATTTAATTAAACGACACAAAAAAAGCTGAGTCGTTAGCATAATAAACTTTTTATTTATTTTGGAATAATAACTTTATATTCTTAATCTTGTTATTTTTCGCGGAATACTATAATAATAATGAATTAAAATGAACGCTCCCGATTAGTTGTCACTACCTAGAAAGGTTCTCAACAGGTTTTTCGAGTCAGAATAAAACAAGATAAAAAACTGCTGAAGATACTGGTCGTCTGCCGGATGAAAGCAATTGGTAATGAACGAGTGCACGTGCGCGTGCGAATCTTGTCACATAGCTCGTGCTGTCCTGTACTTAGCATTTAAACTTGATAAATCAAAGCAATTAACTAGCTGTATATCAGTTATTATCAGATAATTGCAAGTAATAACTTAATTAAAACTATATAATAATGCATATTTGAAGCAAATTTGTCATGTCTGCAGCTGAGATATTGACTGTTAATATCATTGAATTACAATCCAATATTCAAGGACAATAAAAAAGAAACTAAGTAGAAGCAATAAGCGTCCTAAATAAGGAGATAGCGGGTGTAAGACGGTGATGATCCGTGGATGATTCACACGGTAAGATAAACACACCGTAATTACGCTTCGCACTTTGTACTGCTCAACATACGTCGCACGTGCACAGTTAAGCTATTCAAATGCTCTTTCTGCATTATTCTACAACCACAAAGTACGAGAAATCTAACTACACAAAAAAATTATTCCATATGCTTTCTTACTATCATCCATCCCCTCTTTTATATGATAATCTTCACGTAACGACTTTGAATATAACTAGTGGTTTCCTGCACAAACCATTGACTTCATCTATTACGCAGTATTTTATACTCCTTTGTTCAATTGGATGCAGATAAGAAGCACCAAGAAGTGACAAAAAGTCAAAATAAGGTCATACTGTGTATAACACAAACGCATTGATAAATATGGAAATTGAATTGTTCTCATTGTAAGGTCTTTGATTATTTACTAAAAAAGCTCCCTTCGGAAGAGAACTTTAAGTTAAAAAAATTTTCTTTCTCCATTGTTGTTGATTTTTGATGGAAAACGATGCAAACGTGGATCAAAAAACGTTGAAAATTGTTCAGGTTAACAAATTACTTCATTAAATCTGAAATGAATTGAGATTGGTTTTTCTTTCATATTCGCCTGTTTTTTTTTCAGATCACGGCTTGATTGTTTTAGTGAAATCGGTTAGCTGACAAAGTAAAAAATTCACTCTAAACGTTTGTGGATTAATTTTTTTAGTGCAATTAAAATAATTGAAAAAAATTACTTCATCAAGTCAAAAAGAAGAAGTTAAACCCCAAAAACTCTTCCTCATCCTCCTCTGGAATCCGAATTTTTTATAGTGAAGACAGACATCTAAAAACGACCAAAAACTGTGCTTTTTATGGTCCTCTAACTACTCTGAATGATGTATGTGAAGAGAAAGTAAATTAAAATAATTATATATCGTTCTTCAAAAGATTTGAAATTCAATGAGTTTATAAATCAATTGTTATTTTCCATATCTAATGAAAAAGAAATATAATTATTCGAAAAACGGGATATCAAAGCTCCAAAAAAATTAGAATAAAAATAATTAATACGTCAATATCAATGCAGGAAGATAATGAAATAAAATCTAATTTAAAATAAGGTCATATTGTAGATCATAGCGCCATGAAGATAAATATGCTCATCGTTTTTTTATTGCATAATCTTCCTAGATGATCTAATTGCTGTTTTTTTTTATTTCAACAATTTTTTCAAAACCAAAACAATATGAATGATGGATTTTGCGCTATTGAGTTATCGAGTCACGCACAAGCTTTCAACAGTTTAGCTTTCGTGACATCTTCCTGTTTCTAAATCCAAACTTAGGTTTTAAGTTATGACCATTGGATGATTATACCAGCGTACCTGATTTTATCTACCACTTAATGCTGCATGAAAAAAACAAACTCCGTGTACACCTCCAAATGTGCATCCATTTGATTAAAATTGCAGATTAATCTGTGTCGCATCAAGCCTGCGTTTCGATAACCGACGAGATATGAGTCAGGCATAAAAACGCAATTAAATTGCATTCACTGAATTAAATTTGGTAGATGTTATCGTTGTTTCCTTGACGAAAATGAAATTCATCAGGGTTATTTATATGATTATCAAGCAGAGAAGAAGAAAAAAAAACCTTCGATTGACAGACATTGATAGATCACAATGGTAATCAACTTCTAACTGCTTTTAACCACTAAGCAAAACGTTATTCTTATCAAAAAGTAACGACTTTATATCATTATTTTGATATAACAACTTAAGTTTCATCTTACATGTACTACCATAAACATTATTCTTATTTTAGCAACATGACTAAATGGAAATTCAATATCTACTGATAGCACATTCTTGATTTATTGCATTTCTAAAAAAAACTCCTTTATTTAGGTTAAAGTATTAATTAATTGATTCAAGATATTACTAAAGATTTCATAATGGAAATTTTTCATACCCATTTATTATTGTTTATATTTATAAACAATCAGTGAAAGTTTTTTAGAGAAACTTTTTATGAGCATTGAAAAAATTATTTAATAATCACTTTAGTAACAATAAGCATTACGGTAAATACAGATGGTAGCTGGTAATTACTGTTCTAAATGTGCATTAGCAAGTTTGGTACATAAGTATTGGATCCAATAGCTAATAGGTTACACATCAGAAAATATTATCCGGCTGAGTAGCCAACTTAGGGACATACTAGACTAAAGCTTTCTCAAAGTAAAATTAGTCCATCGCCAGATGGTAATGCGATTTCTGAATTGTTAATATTGTTGTGAACAGCCGATAAGCCGTAAGCCACGAAACTCCAATACGGTATGGAGGCGATGCAAATTGATTCACTAGCTTGCTAATATGCCATCAGCTCCGTCCCCGCGGGATAGGATACACAGGAGTGCTAGATAACTAGAGCCAAGTGAAGGTCCATGAGGTTCTAAACTTCATTTTAATTTGCTTCAAGGCATTATATATTTCCTTATTTTAACATTTCCCTTCCCCTTTCTCTTTACCCCTGCTTCTTGCTCCATATAATAATGTTATATATTAATCAACGTAAAAATATTCAGATGATTTCTTGCACGAGAATGAGATTATTCTCATCATCATACTCTCGAAAATTATTTATAATTCATCACTGATATTCTGTTTAACTGTAAGTATTGCGACATTTGTACGTAATTTTTGTTAAATGCAGATCGACTAATTTATAAATAAGACAAGAAATGACTCATTACTTTTTGAAAATAAAAATCTTACTTTCACTCTGAATTATTCATAGGTGTATGTATGATGCACGATGTAAAAGCGGTTGCATTTGGTTTGCTAACAATTGAAATGACTAAAATATTGTTATCACTGTATATAAATTTAATTAAATTCAAATTAAAATTTAAACTTGATGTGAATATTTTTTTTTTGTGGCTTAAATGATATTAAACAGACTTATAAATATTGAGAAAACATTAGAAACTTGACTAATTTAATATCTGGTTCTGATATTAATGATAAAAAATTTGTTTTTCAGAAAGCTATCTTAATCTAGGAGAATAAATAAGAGTAGAGCTGATAATTTTGATATTAAATTGAAATAGAATTAAATTTTGATGAAATTGTCATTCATATTGAATCATGAATCATCATTTATCTAAGTGGAATCAAATGTTTATCACATTATTTTAATAAGTGAAATTTTTATTTTTTAAATAGTTTTTGTCACTTTTAACGCTTTAATGATAAAAATTAAATACAAAATCCATGTAAATAAAAATAAAGTTAACTTTTATGTCGTATCTATTTTATTTCCATATGATTCAGAACTATTTAAATGTAATAAAATAGATGGAAAATTAATAATTCTATCATTTAATCAGACAAACCTCTTCTATCTCGCATGAATCATCATGTAAATTAATTTAAGCCATCCTCACATTCTCTAATATGTAAAATATCATTAGTAAATGTATTCTGTTATGACTATCATTAATTAATTAATAACTAATCCCTGCATTGACAAATATTATCTAATACATAAAAAACTAAATATTAAAATACTTAATAATATTGAAATATTGAATAAATATGAAATTTTTATTTTTAAACTCACATAAATGATTAATTAACTTAAGTTTCACTCGATACATAATTTAATTCGTCCGGAATAAATAAAAGTAAGAAATGATAATTTCATCATTTTAATTCACGAGTTTTTACATATTCCATTAATTTATGAGATTCAAGACAAATACCAAAAAACTTGAATAATGACATGTCGACAAGATTTCAAGAAAGTTTGGATGTTAATCTTAAACCCCTAAAACATCATTTTTTTCTCTTTTGATAATTAATAAAAATTGCTTTTTAATTGGATTAACCTTTGGAACATATAGAGAAAAAAAAACTCTTGGCTGCAGGTGAGTATCATGCCGGAAATACATATCAGTAAGTTATCCTTCACAAAATGCAAGTCTAAGCACAACAATTATCCGACTAACAAAGGCCATTGCACATATATGGCATAAAACGTGACGGTTGTTCAGTAGGTAGCCGAATGAATCATGTTGATGATTCACATTGACGCGCATTGAAACAGTTGATTTCGATAAAGAAACATAAAAAAATAAGTAAATATCTTTACATTACGCATTTAGATATAAAATAATCACCAAGGGTAGTTTGTCACACATGTTTTGCTTTTACATCCTTCAATTAATCACTTATCTAATACAATTACTTATTCATTATTGTTATTATGTGACTAATCATTAATTTGCAATAAACTCAAAAGTCTTCTTCCGACTATAATTAAAAATAAGAATAAAGTTATTTCTGTTAATGAAAAAAAAGTTTCGAAATCATTTATAACGACATGAAATTTTTTGAAAATATAATGGTTTTGATCTTTTTAGAATGATATCGTTATTGCGAATAAAAGATTTTGTTGTTAAAGAAAATAAAAGGGTCTTTAAAGAAAACAACATCGCTGGCTATAATGTTGTTATAGATCTCTAAATTATAAGAAAAGAATCTTCAACAATTCACTATAAAGAAAAAACTTACAATTACATTCTTTGTCTCGAAAGAATTATTGAAAATAACAATATCTCTTGGTCGAGTAATATTTTTCTTTCTACAAATTTATGTCTTCTTTGGCTGATTCTTACAATAAAATAAATTATCAAGATAATCCCTTGTTCAATAAATCTTTGGAAAAAATATCAAAACGATCAAATAAACAGGCTTACTAAATAAAAATCATAAAATTGATTTTATTACCGTACGTTATTTTTATTTCTAACTATTAAATTGTAATTATGTACTACTTTATTATTGACGTATTACTTCTTTTTATTACGTATTAACATCCACAATAACCTTGTATTTTATACCATAAATATTTTTATAATAAAAATAATATTTTACATAACGAAATTATTCGTTTTAATGTAAATGCATAAATGTAAAGTAAGAAAATAAAAATTATTGAAAATAATAAAATCGAATCCATTCTATAAAATAGCATAAAATACTAATTTGATCATCATAATGATTTCGTCTTTCAATCTATTGATTTTCCATGAAGCAAATAAGGAGTATATGAATTTTTTATTATTTCCCCAAATGACATACTGTCGACCTCATCGATAATACCATTACCCTCAATCACGAGAGTAAAGAAAACCTCAATCATACTATTACCCAAAAGTACTGTTTGAGAGGGTTTTAGTTACTTACTCGGCATCCATTCAAATGTATTTGAAATTCGATATAATAAACGATATATTTATAACTTGTACTTATTTGCATGTGACATGAATAACAGAAAAAAATACGTTACAAATGATAATTTATGCTTATGAGGAACTTTAAAGTCAATAGTATGGCTTCATTTATATTTTCAAACCATTCCCGACAATTATTATTTGAACAGTTATTTCTACTGAATTCATGCAAAAACATCCAGTAGGTAATCAATACAATCATTTAGTCGTTAATATTTTCGGTAAGAGCTTCAATAACAATAAATATTAAATCCTCATTTTTTTGCAGTGGATGAAGACAATAGCTGTAATATAATGGTAATATTGATTACGATGGTGGTAACGGTGGCAGTATCGATTATGCTTGCTTTAGTGTGCAGTTACAGCTGGGTAAAATCAAGATTTGCTGTAATAATCGTGAAAATACAGAGAAATTATTCTTAATTTACATAAAGCTTTTATTGAAATGGTTAAATTACTAATATTAGTCGAGAAATGATGTGTTGGAGTGTACTTGTATGATTCTCAAAACAATTAACCATCAAAATTTGGCCTTTTATATTTTTTAAAATATTTTACACTTAATGAATCACTTTTTTGCAGTTCATTGGCCTTCGATAAACAAAAGCTATTTTTGAAATCATTAATGATTATTTACATTGGAAAATGTTTTGTTTTTTT